AACTTGCACTGGTCTGGTAAATGAAGGCACAAACTTTATTTAAAATTAAGCTGTGTTGAAAATTTCTGGTGGAAAATCTGCACCGTTCTGGTGAACGGATGGGCAAGCTTTTCGGAAAAATTTTGGTCTTAAATGTCCATCCTTCTGCTGAATAGAGAAACAAACTTTGATAATAATTTCTGGTGTAAAATTTGCACCATTTTGATAATTGGAGGGAAGCTGCTTTACGAAAATTTATGATAAAAAAATCTGTAAATAGGGGCAGCTTTATTTGGTGAAAAACCTGCAACATTCTGATGATAGAAGAAGCAAGCTATATTGAAAATGTCTGATGGAAGATGGAAAAATGAAATCTGCACCAATCAGAAGATTGAAGAAGCAATTTTTATAGAACATTAACGGTGGAAAATTTGCATCGTTCTGGTCAATTGAAATTTTCTGGTGTAAAATCTCCTGGGGCAAGTTTGTATTGAACATATATGGTGTAAGATTTGCAACAATCTGCTGTCTGGAGAGGCAAGCTGAATTGAAAATTCGTGATGTAAAAATTGCACAGTTCTGGATAATGAAGGGGCAAGCTTTATTGAACATTTCTGGTAGAAAAACTACAACTTTTGGTGAATGGACGGACAACTTAAACTTGACTTCCGAGAAGAACCTCAAGGGTATTGAATTCTGAGGACAGATCCAAAATAAAAGATTTCTGGGGATGATTCCATGAAAATTTTGCGAATAATTTCAAGTGAATCCTGCAGATAATTCCAAGAAAATTTCGAAAAGAATACCGTGAAAATTTTGAGTGAAATTCCAAAGGGATTTTAAGCAAAATTTCAAGCGAATTCCGAGGATAATTTCTAGTTTATTCCAGGAAAAATTTCTGAAACTCTAAAAGAATTTCAGTTCCAAAGTATTCTGAGAAAACTGAAGAGTTCTAAAAATAAAAGAGTTCTAAAAAATCCGAGAAGAACCTTAAGGATATTGAATTCTGAGGACAGTTCCAAGGGATTTCTGAGGAGTATACCATGAAAATTCTGCGAATAATTTCTAGTGAATCCTGCAGATAGCTCCGATATAATTCCGAAAAGAATACAGAGAAAATTAAATTTTGAGTAAAATTCCAAAGGGATTATGAGGAAAATTCAAAGGAGTACCGATAATGTATAGCTCATTCCGGGAAAATTTCTGGATAATGCTGAGGAAATTCTTCTGAAACTCTAAGGGAATTTCAGTTCCAAGGTGTTATGAGTAAAAGTCAAGAAAAGTTCTAAATATAATTCCAGAGGACTTCTGACAAGAATTTCAAAAGAGCTCATAGAGTTCTAAAAATTTCAAAAAGAACTGCAAGGAATTCTGAGGATGGACTTTTTCGCAACTGTACGAAGTTTAAAGATAGCTTTTGGATTATCTAATTGAAAAGTGGGTATAAGTTTGCCATTGAATCTTGTTGTCTTCAGTGATGGCATAATCCTCACTCAAATGATTTTGTTTCGCTCTCAAGGGCTCCCAATATCACGCATGATATTGGAATAAAATATCAAGCATGATATTGTTTTTACAAGCTCCTTTGATATTGCGAGACTATTCAGAACATGTAAAATTGCAGCCACGAGTTGACTTACCACAAAATGATTCCTTTGCACATCGTTTTCTTAGAAAGAGAAAGCATAGTTTGCTATCTTTCTTTACGCTTCACAGATGGCAGACACGAAGTTACTGCTGCCAGCAGTGATGGAAGTTTCGTTTCGTGTTCGGATGTACAGCAAAAATCTTGAAGCTCAAACTCAACACAGTTTGGTGAGAATTGTAGCCGGGGAGTTTTGTTAGCATGATATCATAGCAACCGTATCACAGCTTGTAATATCATCTGCTGTTGTTTGCGTGTTGAGTTTTTGGTCTACGATACTCAAATGAGATTATGCACATTGGTGAGATTAGATCTTTTGATATTTTCACAACACTGGTTGTCTTACTAAGAATTCGTCTAAGAATCTCCTCTGAAAATTTCAAGTCATTTGTTACCGTGGCAAAAAAGTTTCAGCTGTCTATGTGCGTTGCAATAAACTCGGGTTTGTCCTTTATATCTTTTTTAAAACATGTTGAATGTTCGGCATCATTTTCTGTCACCCCGACTGGCGGTACTTTGGGACTGGGTTGACATGCTCAATCCTTCGCACAAGTCGTCATTCCGTTAACAATACTGTACTCGCTTTTCAGAATAGTTTTGTGCGCGTTTGATCTGATCGTTACATATTTTTAAACCTTTTTAATGAACCTATTAGCCTTGGCATTTAGGTAAGATTTGAAAAAAATATAGAACTACAATTTTCGCTGAAAATGACCAAGTTCAACGTACTCGCAACGGTAATAGTAAAGTGTACCTACAACAGCATATAGTAAAAAATAAACTGAAACGATGCCTTCAAAATATACAAAAATGTGCTGCAAAAAGTTTTAGAAAGATAACTGAAGAATATATTTTCTTTGGTTTATATTTTTAACCTGTAGCGAAGAGCATGACGCAAAAAATTATTACAACATTTTTCTATCAAAATATTATTCGAACTGTAACTTTATGTAACTTCCAAGAAATTGTAGAAACTTCAAAAACTATGTTCAATGTTATTCTGGATTTTCAGAACCAATTCTACACAATCAAACATTTCGCTGCCGGTCTTTTCAGACGATCCGATTCCTACAGGGTTCAGAAATTGGAAGACAGCGACCGAGTTGCTGGGCAAACAAAATCGCAGTAATACCCATGTTGGTAGTATGGACGCGTGGAAATTTTTTAAAACCATGAACTTGCTGCGCACTGTTTACATGCGAAAGGAGAATGTGATTCTTATTGGTCATTCATGTCGGTTTGTCGGTGCTATTACCACCATCTGACGTGACTTCAGCTGAATCCAACCACCAAGGCAACAATGTTGCAGCAAATCTCGACTACTTTTTCGAAGGGACGTATCAGCTTTTGTAAACAATGCATTTGATCGTCGATGTGGTGTAACTGGTAGCTCGCCCACGCATTTTAACAGTACCATCAGATAGGGGAAACTTTCCCCTACCTGATAGTGCTGTTAGTATGCGTGAGAGAGCTACCAGTTACGCCAAATCGACGATCAAATGCATTGTTTACAAAAGTTGATACGTCCCTTCGAAAAAATAGTCGATAAATGTATCATTTCGGTTGAAGACCTACTATCGCAATTATTTAACGAACCGATCATTATCGACATAGTCGATGGGATTAAATCGCCAATTTCCATTGGCTGTCTGAAAGCAGTTTGCATTGAAGAAGATGAACCACCACCAGAGCAAAAAATAAATAAAGTTAGCTAAATTGAACAGTAGGAAAACAGTGGTGGGTGGATAGCACCATCCACCACGCACTTTGGAGTACTCCCCATACCCAGGTTGAATGCACCATAGAAAAAGATTGCCCCTCCTTAACAAGATTCCTGTGCACGCTAGTATACCCGGAACCGGTTCCGGCAGGGCACCAAAAAAGACACTTCCTAATCCTCATGCAGTGGTATCGTCCGACGGCTTAAAATTTATGATTTTGCAACCAGAAGTAAATATACATTATGTCATGAAGCCGGAACCAATCATGGGTGTCCGGATGGGACCACACCTACCTGTTGGTCCTTGGTATGATGTCTCTTTACTTCTGGATGAAAAATCATAAATTTTGAGCCGTCGGACGGTACCAGTACATGAGGTTTTGAAATTTTCCTTTTTGGGGCGTACCGGAAACGGTTTTGGGTATCCAGATGTGGCCAGATCCACCTTTCGGTCCACGGCATGATGTATATTTACTTCTGGATGAAAAATAATCCATTTTAAGCCGTCGGACGGTACCAGTACATGAGGTTTTGGAAGTGTCCATTAGTGCCCTATCGGAGCTGGTGCCAGGTATCCTAAATGGCCAAGAATCGGTTCAAAAATGGATTTTAAGGAGCTAGCTGCAGTTTGGGTCTTTTTTGACCCGCTAATGCACAATGTGTAACTTTTTCCTAATGCATTAGGAAGCTTAAGATACATCAATGAACCTGTAAGGGCGTTTAATAAATTTCAAGGAAATTGCAGGAACCTTAAAGGATCTCCGGGAAACTCATTGTTTCATAAAATTTTGGAAAGATACATGAACATCAGCAAATTGTGATCTTTTTTCAGATAGTCACAATCAGCGATTTTACAACTCGCGAGTGCTCACTCTGAGTAGTGTGATTGACAGCTTTTATGAGTCAAACACTTGCCTTTCAACCTCTTCTTGTATCTAACAAGTACAAAATATCATTATAACATCTAATGATTTAAAAATTCAGGAAATCATTTTTTTATAGCAAGTGAGTGGAAGCAACCCTGCCGAAAAATCGATTTCAAGAGGGCTTCCATAAAGAATGCTTCATATATCAATAAAAATAAAATGCTAGAAAATGTGTGTCTTGAGAAAAGTTTATGGAAGTGATGAGTTCTACAGTTCATCAATATCGAAAATCATCAGTTAGAATTTTCAAGTGGCGTCCCAATGAGCATAAGGTATGGACGAATCCTTCATCAGATGCGCCTTCTTTCAACTAAAAACTTCTCTGAAGACTCCAAATTGATTAAACTGCATCTTTATGCACTTTTTTCCCCCTAAAATTCATCATTCTAGACCACTGTGCAGTGGCCTGAATTGACTCAAAATTTTAGTTAATTCACATTTACATTATGATAGCCCACCGTGGTCCTCCAATTAACTAACCGAACCCCTATCGTTCATTCCGCAGGTCAAGATGCGTTTTGTCCGGATTTGGTTCGTAATTGCAAGATTACCGCAGACCCACAATCCGGCCGAAACACCCCCATCGAACCTGAGCCTGTACCGAGCACCAGCAGCAGTAGTAGCAACAGACCTCCAGGTCCTCAGCAAGACCAAGACGTGTACGTAGAGATAGAAGAACTGAACCAAAGCCTATCGTCGGCCCAGATTGGATCTGCCAGTAGCACCACCAATGCAAATACCACCGGTCCAAACGGAACGAAACTTGAGGATAGTTCTAACAACGCAACGACGACCACCGCGACCGTCTGTGATATGGGTCAAAACCTGAGCATCCGAAGGCCGAAAATTTCACTCACATGGGTCCTACGTGAACAAGCACAACAGCAGCAGCAGCAACAGCAACAGCAACAGCTACAGCAAGTTCCACCCCAGCATCAGCAACTGTCTGGTAGTCAGTCAAGTGGTAGCAATAGCAATCATCATCACAATCATCACCACCATCACCATCAGACGACGCAATCGCGACGCTCTTCGCCAGTGAAGGCAATCATCGCCAACGGATCGGCACCTGTTCCTTCACCTGCAGCGCCAAGTGGGCACGTTCCAGCGAGAAAAAAGTCTCGCACTCGCAGTAAGGAACGGCTTTTCAGTGAGAAATATGTCAGCGATAACAATCTGACAGAGTATCAGAGCGAGAAGCAGCAGAAGGTCCACCACGGGTTAAACGGGTCATCGGCGCCACCTTCTACGGAGCATCACGGCATCTATCGAAAGAGTAACCGAAGCTACCGGAAGAGTAGTGACCGGTTGAAGAAGAAGGAACGGGCGTTGATCTACCCGAATCTGGTCCAGAGCGAGACGGTTGATATCCTATTGAACAACAATAACAATAACAGTATTATCATAAACTTGAACCAGGAAGATCAGTTGCTCAAGGACAAGTCGGTGATTTGCCTGAAGAACACCTACTCGGAACCGTCACTCTACACCACCGTTTCGGAGCCATCCTCTTCGAAGAAGCACCGTCACCGCCGCCGAAGGGAACGCTACCGTTCGCAACGATTCGGCTATGAGATCCAGAACGTCGATGAGTTCCTGTCGAAGTGTTCGCTGTCTTCGCCGGGGAACATACCGGTGGTGCTGTCGTCGGCCGCCACGCTCTACCAAACCCGGCCCGGAAGCTACCAGATCGAGATTCCACTGCCACTGGGAATGGTCGTCAACGCCGTGTTCAAAAACCAGAACTGGCTGTACGTCCAGACACCGCACGCCGAGGAGGGATACGTTGCGTACGAAACGTGTCTACCGCTGGGCATCCTGCCACCAAACCAAAGGTGAGATATAGTCTGCTTTTGTCGAATTCTCGCCTGAACCCAATTGTAGGTTGTCTACTAAAACTAACTAAAACCTTTACCACTGCCATCCACAGATCAAGCTCAACTTCCAAGCCGACACCGTGCTGGGAATCGAACAAGGACGTTTTCCCCCGCCCGAGCGGTAACCTAACCGACAGCGAGAAGGAAATCCAACAAATGCGCGGTGGAACCCGTTCCGAGGGTCGGCGAACGCCCCGTCTCAAGCGCAGCAGCACCAACAGCCGCAGCACGACGTCGATAACCTGCAACAGCGAAAAGAACCTGGACTCCCTGTACCTCCGGGTGGCAAACCAACCGAAGTCGATCGATTCCCAGACGCAATTTGCTCAACTCAAACTAACGACCAAGGTGCTCAATCCGCTGAAGGTGGACAACCAGAACAATCTGGAGAAGCTGACTGCCGCCACCAGCAACGCGAGTGACTACGTTCACCTGCAGAAGCAGCAATCGCAAGGGCAGAATCCGTACCACCATCATCACCACCACAAGATACTGGTAAAGAGCGGAAGCGGCGGCAGCGGCGGATCCGGCAACAGTGTCATCAACGGAGGACACTACCATAAGACTGTCAACAGTGCTAGCTATAATAACGGTAACAGTAACAGTAGTGGTAGTCATAGTAAGTTAGTCAACGGCAGCAGTAGCAGTAATTTACGTTCGATGACGACAACGACGGCGGCGGCGGCTACGGCGGCCACGACGGCGGTTCGGCAAACGTTGCTGGCCATCACCGATAACTACTGTTCGGATTCGGTGAGCGTTCAGAAGGGCGATGTGGTGACACTGCTCGCCTGCAAAGAGTACCAGGAAAAGGGACTTAAGAATTTCAAACAGTGGTTCTTCGTGAGGACCCGCGATGGTCACGAGGGGTACATTCCTGCCGAGGCTGCCGGGCATGGTTTTCTGTAGATTTATATATCTATAAGTAAATAGATGCACCCTCTTCGTGGGGGGCGGGGGACGAATTAGGATCAGTTGATTCAGCGTGTTAGGGTATTGATGTTGAAAGGTAGATGAAACGTTGTATAAATTATTAGTTGATGTTCGTGTGCTCGTAGGCTAGAGTGTTGGTCTTAAACGTTATTTGTTCACAACCAAATTAATGATATCTAAATTATGCATAGAAAATAAATGGAAAAATATTGATGTACTTTTTTTCTGTTAGAGCGATGACAAGTCTGTACGGAGACGGTTCAATGCCGATCACATTTTACACTATTTAGCTGGTCATGCATCCCTCTCCTTCTATGAGGCCTCTCCCCATAGCCTAGGGTTCGATTTCCTATAATCGCAAATCAGTCCCATATGGGTTTTCGTCAATTTTGAGATAACAACGCTATCAATTATCAATTGGCATTTACTTTCATATTACGTGATAAAACTACGGGCTTCGATCATGAAAAATGTGAAAACAACATCGAGCCAGTTAATAATAATCGCACATTAGAGCCCCATCCAAAAAAGCAATCGTCCATAGTTCAAGTTAAAGTTCTGCTTTTCGAATTGCCATTTTTTTTTCGATGATATAACTGTTCCATCCAAGTAATCACGATGTTCCATTCAAGTAATCGCAGCAACCTACAGCTGCGACCGAGATGGAAAAATTAGGATTCGAAGTGTAGATGTCAACCTGAATAAACGTATAGTTAGAAGCACTCAAACTTTCTTTATTCTTTGAGAAGAACACTTCAGTTGGCGACGAGGATTTTTCTGGAAGCTCACAAGTTCAAGAAATTCCAGAATCGAACCGAGGAAGGATGGCGGCGACAAACGAAGAACTCCAAGCAGCGATTTTGCAGCTTCTCCAGTGGTTGGCCGTTCCACAAGCAACGAACGTTTTGGAATCCCTGTCGACGCACATCAGCGAGTTCTGCTTCGATCCGGAGAACGGCACCTCATTTGAAAAATGGTTTGCCCGTTACTCGGATTTGTTTGAAAGCGACGCACGAAGTCTGGACGACGCAGCAAAAGTTAGACTTCTGCTCCGGAAGTTGGACACGTCCTCTCACAGTCGCTACGTCAACTACATCCTACCGAAACTACCAAAGGACGTCACGTTTGCCGATACCGTCAAGACACTCACAAAGATCTTCGGCAGACAGACATCCGTATTCCACAAACGCTACCAGTGCATGCAGCTACTCAAGTCCGAGGCCGACGACATAATCACCTATGGCGGAAAAGTCAACAGGGCATGTGAAGAGTTCGAGTTCCAGAATTTGAAGATTGATCACTTCAAGTGCTTGATTTTCGTCTGTGGTCTCAAAGGATTGAAGGTGAAACGGCTGATGCTCCGGTGACAATTCAAACTCTGATCGACGAGTTCCAGCGGCTCGTCAACATCAAGTCGGACACTACGATGATCGAACATCCATCAAGTTCGGTCCATAGCATTTCGGAGAAGAAACCCGGAAATCAGCATCGTCCACTGAAAACGGAAAGCAAGTCCACTCCTCGTACTCCATGCTGGCAGTGTGGTCAGATGCACTACGTCCGTGACTGTCCATTTTCTGATCATCTCTGCAAGGTATGTAGCCGCATCGATCATAAAGAAGGCTACTGTAGCTGCATCAAGAAGTCTTCAAGCGACTCTTCAACTCAACCTCGAGAGAAGAAGCAGTTCCAGAAGAAGGCCGGTCCCAGATCTCAAGCCAAGGGAATTTTCGTGAAGCACATCGCAAACAGCAACCGGAAACGCAAGTATGTGACCATCAACATCAACAGTGTCATGACTTCGCTACAACTGGATTCTGTAAGTGACATCACGGTGATTTCCAAGAAAACTTGGCAGCAACTGAGACGACCAAAGCTAACTCCATCATCGATCGAAGCCTCCAACGCATCTGGTGGACCACTCGCTCTCATCGGAGAATTCTATTGTGAAGCAGTCCTCAATGACATGGTCAAGCGTGGTCAGTGTTTCGTAACGTCATCACCAGATCTCAACGTAATGGGTATTGATTGGATCTACATGTTTAACCTGTGGTCGGTTCCGTTCGATACTCTCTGCAATCAAGTTTCTGCTGTATCCAGACCATGTTTCGCCGAAGCTAGAGCACAGCTGCAAGCCGAGCATCCGGTGGTTTTCGACGACTCGCTGGGCCACTGCAAGAAAACCAAGGTAAAGTTATTCCTCAAACCTAACGCCAAACCAGTTTTCTGTTCGAAGCGACCAGTTCCGTTCAACACGATTCCGCTGGTGGATGCAGAATTAACACGTCTTCAGTCTCTGGGAATCATCACGCCGATCGATTTTTCAGAGTGGGCCGCTCCGATTGTAGCAGTACGCAAGCCGAATGGTAAAGTTCGCATCCGTGCGGACTACTCCACGGGACTCAATGAAGCGCTTGAAGCAAACCACTATCCTCTACCTACCCCGGAGGAGATCTTCGCACAGCTCAACGAAAGCACCATATTCAGCATCATCGACCTTTCCGATGCATACCTGCAAGTGGAAGTAGATGAAGAATCCAAGGAAGCTCCTCACCATAAACACGCATCGAGGCCTCTTCCAATTCAACCGGCTCGCTCCAGGGGTGAAGTCAACGCCTGGAACATTCCAAAGACGGGTTGACAGCATGATAGCCGACTTCCTAGTGTTCGGTCGTTTCTCGACGACGCTATCATCTTCGGAAGAACCTGTGAGGAACACAAACAAGCTACTACAACGTCTAGGGGAAAATGAGTTCCATGTCAAGCTGGAAAAGTGCCATTTCTTCCAAACCGAAATCAGATATTGGGGGCATATCGTCGATCGAAACGGCATCCGTCCGGATCCAGAGAAGCTTCAAGCCATCACCTCTATTCTGGCACCCACCAATGTTTCCGAAGTGCGATCGTTCCTGGGAGCCGTTAATTTCTACGGCAGATTCGTGCGCAACATCCATGAACTTCGTCATCCTCTCGACCAATTACTCAAGAAGGATTCGAAGTGGCAGTGGAATTCCGATTGACATCGGTCTTTTGAGCAATTCAAGCAAGTCCTGCAGTCCGATACGTTGCTGACGCATTACGACCCGAAGTTACCAATAATCGTAGCAGCGGACGCCTCCAGCACGGGCATCGGTGCAGTCATCTTCCATGAATTTTCGAATGGACATCTGAATTCAATCCAGCATGCATCAAGATCCCTCACTCCAGCGGAGAAAGGTTACGGGCAGCCGGAAAAAGAAGCACATGCACTAATATATGCGGTAACGAACTTTCACAAGTACCTTTTTGGGCGCAGATTCACTCTGCTCACGGATCACAAACCGCTGTTATCAATCTTTGGATCGAAGAAGGGCATTCCTTTGCACACCGCAAATCGACTTCAACGATGGGCATTGATGCTTCTCAACTACGACTTCGACATTCGGCACGTGTCTACCAACGACTTCGGATGCGCCGATATGCTGTCAAGACTCATCGACCGTTCTAAGCAGCAAGAAGAGGAGTACGTTGTGGCAGCGATATCCCTAGAAAAAGACATGGTGAGCATTATTCAAAACACTATCGAGCAGGTACCAGTTTCGTTCGCAGACATCAAAAGTGCAACACAGGCAGATGAACCACTACAAGCGGTGCTGCAGTTCATTCGTGAGGGTTGGCCAAACGATGCACGATCAGTCAAAGATCCAGAGATTCGAGTCTACTTCAACAGGCGGGAGTCTCTCACCAACGTCGATGGCTGTATACTGTTCCACGACAGGGTAGTCGTTCCGAGCAAGTTCAGAAGGCAAATCCTGAAGCAGTTTCATCACGGACATCCCGGCATGGTACGAATGAAGTCTATTGCACGCAGTTTCGTTTACTGGCTCGGAATCGACAACGACATCGAGCACCAGTCAAAACAACGCTTGAATCGTGGCCCATCCCTGATAAGCCGTGGTCACGCATACATATTAACTACGCAGGACCTGTGGACGGCGTATTTGTCCTGGTAGTTGTCAACCCGTACACCAAATGGCCCGAAGTATACGCAACTAAAACCACAACGATAAGAACAACAATCAAGCTACCTACTCAAACGTTCGCAACATTTGGCGTCCCAGAAACCATCGTCTCAGATAATGGTACCCAGTTCACCAGCTACGAGTTCAAGAATTTCTGTGAGAATCAAGGCATTCACCACGTCCGCACAGCACCATTCCATCCTCAATCAAATGGGTTAGCAGAACGGTTCGTGGACACCTTGAAGTGCACTCTTCGGAAGATTCGATCGGGAGGAGACACACTGGAGAAAGCATTGCAGACGTTTTTGCAAGTTTACAAGTCAACACCAACGGCTGACCTAGGTGAAAAGTCTCCTGCAGAAATAATGTTCGGACGACCGGTCCGCACAGTTTCGTCAATGCTACTACCGCAACACAACCGTACATCAGCAGCACAACCGAAAGCAGATGAGCAAAACAAGCGTTTCAACAAGAAGCATGGAGCGATTTCGAGGCAGTTCGTTCCGGGTGATGCTGTATATGCTCAATAGACTGATGCAAATTTTGACATTTTCGCTCCACAGTGCTCAAAAGGTTCCAAATCGGGTCCTGATTAGTCTCCCAAAATTTGAACTCATTTTAAAAGAAACTGACTTGGCACAAACCATTTGAAGTTTATATGGAAATTACTATGGGAAATCCAAATGTTTTGTTCATTGTCTTCTTACCTTTTTCCATATTGCACTGTTCAAAAATTCAAAAGCTATACTTATGGAAAATTTTCTCAGCTTCCACTAAGCAGAATATAGTTGTTGAGCCAAACGTCAAATAAAATAGTTATTAATTGTTTAAGAGATTGAGAATCTTATGGCATGATCAAGCAGCTGTTTTGTGAGCAACACTGTATCTTGCAGTGTGACATAGTAGCCATGATTTTTGTGCTCTATTCCAAGCGCCAGAAACACCAATGTTGCCTGCTGAACAGTTGATTGAGCATAATCGTAAGACATTAGTGGCCACACCAATTCCTGAGTTGCTTCGCTGAGCGCCACATACTCCGATTCCATCGAAGACAGAGTGACACTCGTTTGTTTTCGACTGCACCACGAAACGGCGGCACCAGCGAACATGTACACAAAACCAGTGGTTGACTTCCGGGTACGGATATCACCAGCCCAATCCGCAAGTCGTCTTCAGGTAGCGCACGACTCGCTTTGCAGCCACCCAGTCCGCCTCTGTCGGTGAACTTACTCTTCGACCAAGTATTGGTGCACTTACTGCCACATCCGGTCGAGCACAGACCGCTATGTACAGTAGTGCTCCGATGAGACTTCTGTACTTTGTTCCATCAGACAGCAAAGGACTCTTGTCCTCCACCTTCACGTATCCGGTTTCCATTGGAGTTTTTACCCCTTTTACATCACGAAGTCCGAATTTCTCAACGACTCTGTCAATGTATCCCTCCAAAGACACACTGTATCCACCTGCATCACAATGTACTTCCAAGCCAAGGAAATAACTCAGATCGCCCAGATCCGTGATATCGAATTGCTTCTTCAACGCTTCGTACACCACTTCAATTTCCGCTTCTTCCTCTCAACCAACGAGCATATCATCTACATATACCAGCAAGTAGACCCTTTTCCCTTTCACTATCTTCGTGTATAGACAGCTATCGGATGTGCTTTGCTTGAATCCCATGCTCTGAAGAACATAATCCAGTCGCTTGTTCCAGCACCTAGCAGACTGCTTCAGCCCGTAAATGCTCCTCCTCAAGCGACACACCATGTTCTCCTTGCCCTTTACCACGTGTCCGGGTGGTTGCACCATGTACAACTCTTGGTCAAGTTGGTCATGCAAGTAGGCGGTTTTCACGTCAAAGTGTTTCAAGTTGAAACTTTCAACCTCATTCCTCTCTTACTCGCCGTTGCCAACAGAAGTCGAAGCGTTGTGTGTGTAGTTACCGGTGCAAAAACTTCATCGTAGTCTTCGCCGTACTTCTGGGAAAAACCCTGCGCTACCAGGCGTGCCTTGTGCTTGGTTACCTCACCAGCTGCGTTCCGTTTCAACTTAAAAACCCAGCGGCAACCGACAGGTTTACGTCCCTTAGGTAAGTTAACCAATTCCCACGTTCCATTTTCTGAATGGGATTTCAACTCATCCACCATGGCTGCATTCCATTCTTCCTTTCGTTCACAGGTCAGTGCTTCCTTCAAGTTCTTCGGTTCCACTTCCTCCCCGGATACAGTCCCAGCTGAAAATATTTCCTCAATCAATCTGCTTGGGGGAACGCCCTTCGTGGAACGCATTGAACGCCTTGAAATTTCGTCCAACGGAAAACCATGAAATAGAGAAACACCATCAGAAGCACTACCATACATTGTCGAATCCAGATCCGAATCATCATTTTCATCATTTGTCTCCAAAGATCCATCAGAACCCTCTTCCTGATCTGATTCATCCGAAGGCATCACCAGTGGCACGTCGAAAAATTCTCCTGTGGCTGGAGACTCAGCTTTTGGAAACGTACGGACGGCTTCTTTCACGCTGCACAGCTCCAGAAATTTTGCATCTCTGCTGATCGTGACATAGCCCGTCTGCACATCCAAGAAACGATACGCTTTTCGTCCCTCCGCATAACCAACAAAAATCAACTTTTCGGACTTCATATCCAGAGCCTTCCGTTTTTCCTTCGGAACGTGCACGTATGCTTCACTACCGAAAATCTTCAGATGATCGTACGATGGCTTCTTCTTGTTCCATATTTCATACGGTGTATGGTCAATCGACGACGATGGGCAGCGATTCTGTAAATAATTCGCAGTGTTGATCGCTTCGCCCCAGAACTTCTTCTCCAGACCCGACTCAGCCAGGATACATCGCATCATCTCCTTGAGATATCGGTTCTTCCGTTCAGCCACCCCGTTTTGCTGTGGCGAATACGGTGCCGACATCTGCTGAACAATACCATTGTCCGCGAAAAACTTTTTCAAACTATCACCAGAATACTCACCACCTCCATCCGACCTGATGCACTTGGGGTAACGTCCGAAACGATTTTTCATCAAATTACAGTATTCACGAATCTTCTCTTCAGCATCCGATTTGCGCTGAAGCAAGTAAATCGCCGAATAACGACTGTAATCGTCGACTAGAATAATGTAGAAGCGATTCCCCCGCGGTGTTGCCACTTCCATCGGACCACCCAAATCACTGTGCACAAGTTCACCAACTTCATTAGCTCGACTCTTCGAAGCTTTCGGAAATGAGTCCCGACTCATCTTCCCCTCGCAACATGGTCCACACACCGATTTCACATCACATTGTCCAATCTTCAAGCCATGACCAAGATTCTCACGCATTATTTTTATTACAGCCTTCGAATCACGGTGCCCCAGGCGACGATGCCACAGATGCTCACACGAATCGCTATGCTTATCTTCAGCCGACAGCGCTCTATCCGGAAACTGTTTAAGGTGATACAGGCCACCTTTCCGTTGACCAACCAAGACCACTTCGTTTCCCTTGAACACTTTACAAGCGGACTTCTCGAACAACACAGTGAGTCCTAAATCAGCAATCCTACTCACCGAGAGCAGATTGCTTGCGAGCGAAGGAACATGAAAAACGTTCTCCAGTTTCACATTCACTCGAGTGCCATCACCGTTCACACAGGCAATCTTACCTGAACCAGCACAAGCTGATTTAATTTTCTTTCCATCAGCCAAACAGATGGTCGCACTTTTGGAACCGTCGAGTTCTCCAAGGATAGATGCGTCATTGGTCATGTGAGAGGTAGCACCTGAATCAAGATACCACACACTTGCTTCTCCAGTACTCCCAGCCGCAAGACACATCTCGAACCTTTCATCACACTCGGCAACCACATTAGCTTTTCCATTCTCTTGACGATCTTGGGCCAACTTTCGGCAATCGCGCCGGAAATATCCCTCCTTCTTACAGTAGTGGCACACTTTTTGTTTCTCCTTATTCACTTTTTGTTTCTCACTGAATAATTTATGCTGCCTTCCATTAGCCGAACCGGTGGCGAATGCACTCTCCGCTTCAGGAGACTTTTCAACTCGCCGTCGACCCTCATCCAGCAGCTTCCCTTTCACGAAATCAACTGTGAGATCGTCATCCGGACGACTCTCAAGTGCCATGATCAAGCCATCGTACGACGAAGGTAGGCTAGAAAGCATCAATGCCACAAACCAGTGATCTTTCACCTCTTCGCCTAGCGCCGTGAGCCGAAGCCTTAACTCCGCCATCGATTTCAGGTGCTCCGCCATACTTCCACCTTCTGGCATACGTAACGATACCAACTGACGCACAACATGTATTTTGCTCGAAAGAGATGCCCGCTCATGACAGTCCTTCAGAGCATCCCACATCTCCTTCGACGTCGTTTTCTGCATGACGTGAATCAGCTGCGTATCTTCCAGTGCCAGTCCGATCAATGCTTGCGCCTTCTCGTCGTTCGAGGTCCAGGTCGCATCAGCACTTGCAGGTTTCGGATCGGTCACCATTTTCAGCAGCTTTTCACGCGTCAATAGCAGCCGCATCTTGAACTTCCAGATGCCTTAATTGTGATCGTTCAGTTTCTCAATCGAGACTTTCGTATCCGCCATTTTGTTTCCGGCACTACAATACTGTTCTTCTCGATATTTTTTAATACACTTCGCGTCGAACAACTAAACTATCGCACTTTCACGTTTAACTGGGCCCATAACCTATTGGACTTAGGATTACAGTGTAATGAAAGGCCAGGTTTAGAATACGAATAAGAATATATTGACTTAAGATGTTGTCACATCGAGAGCACATTTACGATTAAACAAAATGGTTCTTTTGCACTTTCTTCTCTCTGCTACGCAGTCGACCCTGCTGACATACCGATAGGGATGTACACGCACCACACGTATACTGTAGGGGTGGCACCATTGTTGCCTCTCCAATACGAACTTGGTCCAGTTGATGAAGAGCTTGGAAGTGATGAGGCGGAGTATTTTTCGGATGATAGTGAGGCAGACAATCCACCACAGCAAGATCCAGTACCAGTTCCGCCAGCAACAAGAGAGCGCCGGCAGACTCGTTTACCAGCTAGATTCGAGGAGTACTGGATGAATTAAGAGGAGAGATGTTCCATCCAAGTAATCACGATGTTCCATTCAAGTAATCGCAGCAACCTACAGCTGCGACCGAGATGGAAAAATTAGGATTCGAAGTGTAGATGTCAACCTGAATAAACGTATAGTTAGAAGCACTCAAACTTTCTTTATTCTTTGAGAAGAACACTTCAATAACAAAACATACAAGCTTCACTGGCACTGATTTTAACTTGAATGTATTATCAATAAATTTACTATGATGTTTCAAATATTTACATGGGAATGGCACTTTGTAGCTTCAACGGTCATTTTCTCAATTCCTACTTTTCCCATATGGGACTATCATATAACCACCGACAAACCGACATGAATGTCCATAACATAAACAATAAAATTTCTGACCAAAGCACACTACTGACATCTACACAACCCGCATGCAAAAGTTATGAATGGGTTCGTGTCTGATCTATTTTGGACAACTTATTTTTATCTAGATCAAAAAATCCTATGGTTTTGACAGTTCGGATCACTGCACATTTAAAACGACCGTTTACGATTTTCGGGCATAAGTCAGAATTAAGTGTCATGTCGGTTTGTCGGTGATATAACCACCGACAAACCGACATGAAACTTAAACTTAACTCTTGATCGAGAATCCATAACGGCCGAATCAAATGTGCAGCGATCCCATTTGTCAAAACCATAGAAATGTTTTATCTAGATAAAAATAATTTGGCCGAAATAGATTAGACACGAACCAATTCATTAATTTTGTACGCGTGTTCGTGGCTAGGATAAACATTGACGTCAGTTTTGTGCTTTGAGCAGAAATTCCTTTATAATTTGTATGATCAGTCATGTCGGTTTGTCGGTGATATAACTCCATGATTAATTTTCCCAGAACATCCCGTTCCATAGCCATTCCTAGAAGGTTCAATTAGAAAGCTTTCCCTGGATCATGCTTTAAACTATCAGAAACCGGTAAATGGTCTTAACCGTTTAATTATGATTCACAACATACTGTTGGTCGTCTCTTTCAATATCCGCCCCTCTTCGGTCCAAACTTAAGGGTAAATTCAGAATGGATAACAACGGAAAACCGCATATCACACAAAAATTACGCAGCTAGTAAACATTCAAGAATCTTCTATACACAGTTCCACAATAAATAAGGGAAAACGCACGCTTCGAATTCAACAACCCAACACTATTGCGTCTTGGTTACGCGCGCCAAACGCCGGTAACCGTCGATGGATCGATAACGCTTCCAGTATTTTCCCATCATTCTTGCAACCACATAAAAGAACAGAAACGGCTGGGCTATTCCACTAGTGTGTCATTCGTCTTCGTTTCGCATCCATTCAGGTGGAAAATTCAAATTAAACACCTTGTGCATTGTTCTCCCGGTCCCGATCCTAAAACAATAACGTCCTTTTCTCGTCTTGTCAAACAAAGGTGTCAAGACAATTGAGCTCATCTCCTCATTAATAGTCGGTACGTGCCATGGAAGCAGTTTAAATTTCGATTCTCTTCACATCCCCAAAGGATCTAATTATTGCTTTTATTATGGAGTGTAGGCCGACGATATAGTCCTGGTGGCAAGGGGGCGCATTCTGTTGTTGCAGTCCCCAAGAGGGCTAAGTCCAGCTCAAGAGTTCAAGAAGAAGGATAATTTCTCTGTTTAAATCCGGTGAGGGCCGGTAGGATCAGAAGTGAATAGAATAAATTAAATTTACCCTCTCCCCCGCCCGGAGATGCCAACGGACAGGAAGATGGGTGCAATAAAAAAGATGGCCGAGAGGCAGCCGGCCACCGAGCGGGTGCATCCAAGCATGGAGCCCATTGTTCGGGATGGTAAAATGTGTGTTCGCTTAGGACGACGACGACGATGGCGACGGAACTCAGAATATTCCTTTCCTTTTTTACAGACGGGAGCAAATCGAGCTGGAGAGTAAGGTTCGTCGGGAGTACCAGAAAAAGTGGGGCTTCATAGCGGAACCGGAATCGACGGAGTATTTCGATCTCAAGAAGAACAACCAACGGCTGAAGGAGATATACCAGCGCAGGAACGAGAAGATTAATCTGCACGAGTACAATGGCCACGGGGAGTCGTACTTTGTGTCGAAGCAGATGTTCAAGACTCTGCTGGATACGTGTCGGTGCGGAAGGAAAAAGGTAACCAATATGCACGCGCTGAAGTGTCTGCAGAAGCCGAAGAGTACCTACGAGAAGACGGACGACGAGGAAGAGGACGAGGAACAGGACGCAGGAAAGGTCGATGATGGCGGAAGCGATAAGAGTACCAACTATATTCCGAAGGTGCCGGTGTTGAGTTCGGGTAAGTGGGATGGGTTTTTGGCAATCGAACATCTATCTGCGGTAATTGAACCGTTGATTATATATGTACATCGAACTGAGGTTATTCATTTCGACGTAATTCAGTTCTGAGCCAATCGCAATCGGGTAACAATTGGATGCTTAAAAAGTGTTGTTCAATCGATTTTAATTCAGCCTTAGTTTGAATAATTGTTATACATAGACCACGTTATCCTTTGTTCAGCATTTAAACATCTAAATCTGGTGATTTTAATCAGCTAAAAGCTTAACAGTTATATAAATTATAAGCTTTTTAAGGCATTCAGCCTTCTAGTTTTATTCAGAAAAAAAATTGAAGACCGCTTCATATCTTATATATTTTTATGGGACTGCAACAAGGTGCTGACTAACTAATTGTATTTACATATTTTTAGATAGAGCTGGAATTATGGCCTAGCTTTTGTAAACAATTATTTTTCTTGGTGATTTCTAGATATTTAAGGCTCGCCCACGCAAACCAACATCCTCATCGGGATGATTACAGCCCAGCAAGCAAACAATAGTCGATGATTTATTAATCGAGTAATTAAACAATGGGACATCACTGATTTTTGATGTGATTGTTTTGTTTTGATAAAAGAAAAGCGCAAAACGTCAGCACTACCGAGCGGTTATGCTAGAAATTTGCCTCTTTCACCGGGGCACTCAGAACCTACTCCAGAGTAGCCGGGGCAAGGTGTGGACCTGTAAAAGCTACCATTGGCTTTGGTTTGCAAAATCTTGAAGTTTGACACCCATATTGATATAGTTTCGGTCATGTCTCAAATTGACCACTTCCTCCGGGGAACCCAGAAGCTGATCCAGGATCACAACTTGTGACACTGAAAACGCGCAGAAAAAGCGTGAAGATTAATACCCATATTGACGTGATTCAAAAGATTAACACTACTGGTCACTTTACCGGAACCGATTTCGAGGAAATGGCCAGCATTGAATTTAAAATTACTTCTAGTCTAGTATCAGGAAAAAATATAGGTTCAAATAAATTTTTATACCAGAAAAACCCGGAACATCTCCGGTGTGCCACTGACCCCCACAAACTTTCACATGATTTATTGAAACTGCTTTAAATTTCCCGTCAAATGCATCCGGCAAATTGGTTAACTTTTCGAAAAGTTAATGCTATTTGAATTTTGACAAAATTTTGCCTGTCTCGATCATTTTGTCTATCCCCTGTATATAACGCTTGGTTTGCATGACATTTCTTCTAATGTTTACTTTTGCCTCCTTTGATCCAAACCATGGTGGGTATATAAATGGTGATACAGCTTTGTCACTATATAGGCGGAGGAGGTCGCGAGGGGGGGGAGTGCGGTTTTAGAGCAAATTGTAAACAAACTCTGTCGCTGTAGAGTAGTGGCAGCTGGCTAGATCCAACCAAAACATAACGTTGGTCTTGCCGAATTAAGGGTAAAATCTGCTTTTTCAGACACTCTTTAAAGTAAACCTTCGACGTCATTGTGTGAGATGTGATGAAAACCTTGGTTTTAAGGCCACAGCTGCAGATTCCTTGCCAAATCATTAGTTTCCGAGCAAACTTATCAGCAAAAATAAATTTATACCTGAAAGGGACATCGTGGGGACTAGTTGCCAGGTAAAATTTTCGTCCGGGGATTTGTTTATAATCCATTTTGACATATGTTTTGTCATCCATTAAAATACAGCCATCAAATTTCGACAAAACTCGTTCGTATAGTAATCGTGCTCGCTTTTTTGGCAATAAATTTTGTTTCAGGGAGCGATTCGGATGTTTACTGGCACAAAAAGACTTATATCCTTCTCTTGAAAAGATGTTACGCATGGTGGATAAGTTGGAATCGTATTTCTTCGCCAAATCACGCATGGAGATACCTGGGTTGCTTTTCACGTACCTCAAAACCTTTCTCCTCAGCTCTTTGTTCCTAGTGCCACTTTTATGATAGATGCGCTGTGCTCTATCCACACTCAGAGCATCCTTGTAACGTTTTATTACAAGACTCACCGTTGACGTTGGGAAATTTATCACTTTTGCTATTTTTGAGGCAGACCACGAAGGGGTCTCTAGATGTTTGTGCACAATTAATTTTCTTTTCTCAAGTTCCATGATCCGTAATTTCGGGATGTGTCGATCAATCGAGAAACACTTTTCACCAATTTCTTCGTCAATGAAACATCAACAAATGCCTGTCAAACGCTTTTTGTTCCAACCATCAGGGGCGCGATGGTGTATTAAGCCGTGCGTCCAGATTTACTTTGAATCGAGTTTTATCTCAGTATCAACATAAATACACTAGCCAGGAGCCGTCCCGAGATGTTCGGTATGATTTTGGCTATCACGTTGATGGCCTTCGCTGCCTTCTCGTAGGCGTATTCTACGTGGCTATTGGCGACCATCACTCCCAGGCATTTCAACCCACACTTCTAGTTTAGGGCGTGCTCCCCAACGGTAATTTCTGATCGCTGCAGCGCTTTAAAGTTACTGATCAATACCACCTCGCTTTTGTTTTGGACTATCTGCAGCTTCGCTCCATGCACTATGTTTCCAATCATGTCGACCGCCTCGGTCGCCAACATTTCCATCTATTCCAGCGTCTTGCCTGCTACTGTAAGACGACGTCGTTCGCAAAGCCAACGATCTCAACTAGTTTGCGTACCTTCAGCGTTAGACCACCGTTTTAAATCACGTTCCAGAGCGTTGGACTAAGGATGGAGCCTTGTGGAATTCCCACCGTGATCCTAATCGATCTCTGTCCCATATTTGGCTCGTAGATCAGAACCCGGTTCTGAAAGTAGCGTCGGCCTCCCAGCTGGAGCTGTTGAACAATAGAGCTAATATACTATAGAGGAAGAATAGCGCTGGTGTTCCCTTTGTACCGATGTTGAATAATACCGGGTACAGATGTTCAGTTCACTACTCGATAAACACGAAAAAGTAGAAGAAAATATCACTTCAAATCATCAAAAACGTTTCTTCTTACATGGCGTATTTCCAACTTTTATCTCTATAATGCATCTGGTTGTTACGAATTGCACCAGAACTACGAATTATATCTAGGGGCATCCCACTCTAAAGTTTGTATTTCTCACGATGTACTTATAAAGTTCTAACTGGTATCTTAGATACCTATAAATACCTAAAAATACTTAAGAAATACTTTTTACTAGATTGTTTCCCTGGTTGTTAGACAAATTTCTGTTGTTTGTTTACTCAATGTTGTCAGGGATTTTATGTGTTAGGTTGGATTTTGTGCATTGCGAGCGTTAAAGTATTTAGTGAATAAATCATACAAAAGAAGAGATTTACAACTTCAGAGGATAGGTCAATTATGGTATTTCGTTTATGAGAATATGTCTTTTATTCTGACATAAAAGACAATGTAAAAACAAAATCTGCTTTCCAGCTGCACCGATTCTCAACCTGAAGTCGCTATATTTGAGATAGTATCTGAGCAAACACACTTTTTCTGAACAAGTTTCATTATAATTTTCACTCCTATTCCCTATTTGGATCGAAACGGATTTGTCATAAGTATTTTTGAAAATTTGTTTTGATCAAAATAATGGTAGATAGGTAAGTGATTAATTGGAATCCATTGAGCAAATTTAGTATTAGGTAAACATGTGAAAGAGAACAGAGAGCCAAATGTAAACCATGACTTTTTTAAATATATATCTATGTTTTTTATTCGTCGAAGCTCATTTGCATTAGCTTCACAAAGCTGAAGTTCAATTTTACATTAACAGAATTTTCTTTAAACTAATGTTAGTGGAACGAGGACCAACAGGTGGAAGTTCTCGGGGTTTCACTGAAGTCCCCATACAGGTCTGCATAGTTGACGTCGTGCCTTTTCCAAATTAACTCTGTCATCGTCCTCATGTCCTCTTCCAATTGTGATGTAACTTCAGACTTCAAGAGCACTATGGTTAGGCTACTTGAAAATGCCAGTACGTCCAGCACCTTTTTCATCTTTACACGAAAATCCTCGGCAAAATCACCAAAACACCGTTGAATGATGACTGCAAATAAAATATTTAATATATAATGAGTAACAGCATTAGTCAATTAAATTATATTCAAATAATCAAAATAACTATTTTATCCTATCAGTATGAGTATAGTGAAATAGCTATTTAACTTACCGTACAGGAGACTAACTCTTCGGTAGACATTTTGCAAAATTCACGCGTAATGTTTGACATCGAAATAAAAAAACAATTGGGTTCTTTAATTTTGAAAAATATATCGGTTTATATATATCATCTGTCCACCATTGCCCAAAAAAGATAAGAAAAATAATAAAGCTGCTCCTCAAACTTCTCAAAAGAAATCCAAGTCCGAGCGAGGTTTGCTAGCTTTTTCGGACATTGTGGAATTCATATTAAATATGTTCAACATACAAGACCCTCTTAGAAGCTTAGTTTCTGCCTTGCTTCCAACATTAGAATCATATCTTAAGCAATTGACTGTTTCATGGCCCCTCCTTGCATCAATCATATCTTTCGATGGATAATTCGTCGAACGAGGTTGAAGATATGATCACTGTGCTACAGTGGAACTGCCGTAGTCTAGTGCCTAAACTAGACTCGTTCAAATTTTTACTTCACAATTCTGATTGTGATATATTTGCTCTCTGTGAAACATGGCTTTCTTCCGATGAAGAACTCAACTTCCACGATTTTAACATTATACGCCTGGATAGAGACGATTCTTATGGAGGAGTACTTTTAGGGATCAAAAAGTGCTACCCTTTCTACAAAATTTCCCTTCCTGCTCTATCAGGCATCGAAATCGTCGCTTGCCAAATAAATGTGAAGAACAAAGACCTTTGCATAGCTTCAGTTTATGTTCCACCAAGAACCTCCATTAGCCGTAGTCAACTCTGGAATCTAGTTTCGATTCTTCCATCCCCAGTATTAATTCTGGGTGATATGAACTCCCATGGTACTGGGTGGGGCGATCTATATGATGACAATAGAGCGGCT